AGTTACTAAGTTCTGTTGATTCTAACCCTCCAGGACTTCTTCCCATCCCCTTCTCACCCCCTCCTTTGCCAGTCCTCACTCTTTGGCTTTCTAAACCTCCTGATGAGTCTCTTGGCCACCAGTCAGTCTTCTATCTCCAGCTCTCCTGCCTCCAGAGGGATCTTGTTTCATCAGTTCTCAGACATGCTCTTTCATATAACGTCTCTGAAGTCAGAGTTCAGCTTAGTCAACGGCCTACCGTGGTGTTTTCAGCAGCCTGTAGGTCTTACTTAAATGGTCATGTCTTAAAATCGATGACTTAGATTCAGTAAGCAGTATATCTTTCTAAAATAGAGCAAGAACTTTAGTTACTTCCAGGTTCTTAGAGTTGAACTTCCAGTCCTTTTGTCTGCCAGATACCACTTCTCATGACTAGACTCCAACTTCTTCACCTCCAGCCTCATTTATGCCTCTCCCCTACCGCATCTGTCCTGTGATTGCCCCCGACTATTGGGGTCCTTCGCTGGAGGCTCCCGCCCCACTGTGCCCTGTGCTCCCTCTCTTCATGCTGGGAGACACAGCTCAAGGGGCATCTGCGCCGTGATTCTTGCCCTGCTCTTCTCTCAGCCTCACTGCCTTTCTCGGTTCCTCAGGCAAGATGGCACCCGATTGCTTGTTCTCAAAGCTGTAGTCAGTCTGCTTTAGTGACCGGAAACCTTTATAAGGCAGGGACCACTTCTTAAGTCATTGCTTCTCTGGTATCTGATAAGCACTGTGTTCTCAGAAAGTGTTTCAGTAGAATGTACTAGAGCATGGAAATCTAACTTCTGGAGGAAACTTGGGAATAGGCTTATAAAATCCTGGGTATTTTGTATCCTTTTCCCAGAGGTGCCTGCCTTCCTGCAGTTCATACTGACTTACTCTTATGCTGAGCGTGCTGACCTCAAGCACATTTTGGGGACACTTCAACACTTACTATTCCCATGAGTAATGAGGTCTCATTATTGTGAGACACCTGCTGGGTTCCCGGCTCCCAGTTTTCTCTTTCTCCCCTTGAAGTTTGGCATAGGATATGTTTTGAAGTATAGAGTTCATTTCATGGTCTTCTGGCTGTTGGACTTGGGGGAAAGGTAATAAAACCATCCTGAAGGTGGAACTGCCTCTCTTTAAGCAAAGTGCATTTCTTAGCCCCTTGTGACTTGGGAGATAGCATTGTTTGATGAAAGAGCCTTGGCTGTGGAGGCTCATACCCTACGGTACCATTCATGGCAGCGGTCTTGGGCAGGTTGCTTCATCTTTCCCTTAGTTTTCCCACCTCTAAAACAGTGTCCTGTGAGACAAGACGGCTCACGTAATGCGCCTTTAAAATAGTGCCTGGAACTCAGTGGGCTCTCAAAGGTTAATTTACCACCACTCCTTACCACTTCCAAATAGCGCACAGTTTTCTCCCCCTCTGGGAAGCTAAATTTTTAACTCTCATTAATCTTAGAGAACTGTCAGATTATACCAAACAAGGGAATTTTAGAACTTAGGTAAGTTTTGTTTTTTTTCTACTATCGGTTCAAAAAACGGTAAATTTCATTTGGGGATTCTACCAGCAGCTACATGCGTCTGTTCCAATTATAGATCCTGAAGGTGGGGAAATCACCAGAGGCTGGCTCGGGGCCCCACTGGGCCCACTGTGAGATAGACCTGAGCCAAAGCTCCACGGGTTCCCTGACCTCTGTCAGCGCCTACTAGAACCGGCGAGCCCAAGTGACATTTTGGGTCTCCAGGAATTAGTGTCATTTCAGAACCAGTGTTTGGTAACCTGTAAAAGTCTGACCGTTTTCCCTTCTCCAATTCAGTCACCTTAGTAAATTATAAGACCAGTGTAGTGTGCTGGCTGCTCAGAAGGGGGAAGGTACCTGGAGATCCAGCAGGGTTAGAAGGTTGGCTATCAGACTGAGCCCTAAGGTGCACATTCAGATTTGGGGAGGGGGTGTTCTTTAAGATCACCTAAAAAAAAAAAAGTGGGCAGGTCTGGCTACAACAAGGGTTTTGGCTCTAACAGCCTGAGAACTGTGATGTGTAATCATCCACTTTCATTTTCTGATCTGTTTCATCTTGTGCTTAACACATGGCCTACAGCACTGGGATCACTGAAATCAGTGACATCCTAGAACTAGGCTGCGTTCCAGTAGTAATGATGATGTTAGTGACAGTCAGGATGTGATGCCCTCAAAGTATCTTACACTTGGCAAAATGTATTTCATGCCTGTGATTAACTCACAGTAATATGTGGGGTGAGTCTCATTCTCATTGGGTAGATTACAGGGCTGAGGCTCAGAGAGGTTCAGGCACTTGTCCAGAGTTCTAGCCATCATGCCTCAGTCTTCCTGTGATTTCCTTTGCGCTAAGAAACCGTTCCATAAACCCATGGGACTCCTTACCTTCTGGTCTTTGCTGTTCTTATCCTTCAGCTTGGCTCGCTTCTTGAGAGGCATGTGTTGAATAGCACATGCCCTCCCTCCATCTTGCTGTGAGTAACTCAGAGGCCCAGGTAGGCAATCTGCCTGAAGGAAAGGACTGGAATTCTGACATGTTGTTTACGTTTTTTAGTGGGTACCTGGGGGTTCCTGTGTGACAACATGCAAAAGCATCTCATGATACAAGCCTGTGCAAAGAAGTCCTTTTTGTCTCTAGGACAAGTGGCCGCGTCCCCAGTTTTGCATTGTCTTGCTCATGGATGCTCTCTGGTTCTGAGAAGGCTTCCTCCTCTCCTCTCAATAAACAGCCCCCTCCTGCTGCGTCTCCCCAGCTTAGCTCACTTCCCCAGAGCAAGCTCTGCAGTCCTGAGGCCCATCTGCCCCACCCACTCACTGACTGAGGGTGCTTTTTACAACCTCTTTCTTTTCCTGGATTCTCATAACCTGGACTTACATTGTAGTCTGTTTTGCAGACTTGTTTTCTTTTTACTTCAGTTGCCATAGTTCCCAACTTTGTATATAAAATAATCATCATTCTCCACCCTCTATTTCCCCACTGTTTCATTGAAAAAGTTGCACTGTTTGCCGATGTGCCCTTTGCAGAAGGGATCTGATGGCTTTTTAATCGTTTCCTTTCTGGCTCTACCACCAGCAGACATGTCTTGCTCTCTTGTTTATGAGTCTTTGTTCTGTAGTCTAGATTGATTCCGGATTCAGATCACCACTTCATTTTGTCATGTTTTTAGACAAAGAACCTCAGCCCACTAGAGCCAATGACCTAGAAAGTGGATTATGAGATGGGGAACGACTGATTTAAAAAAAAAAAAAAAAATCTGCCCTAAACTGGTTCTACCTGTATTACTTTGATTGTGAGTAATATAAATGAACAAATTATATAATTATAGGGGAAATGAGCCTGTCAGATTGTGGTCAGAAACCTAAGGGTTTTTGCCTTGTCCAGGTTATTGCCTTAACCTAGAACTCCTAAACTACCAGCTTTGGTAGACTATGTGACTTGGTAATTTTGGGACCATGTGGGTTGGAAGGGTGGGGTATCCAGATCACCAGTTTCTTTATAATAAAGTAGAGTAAATGAGTGGTAAAGAAAGGACCCTCCAGGAATAGGTATATGAGGATGCGCAGCCCTCATTTTTCGTAGAATGGAGACACCATAATGGGGATCAGAGGACCTGTCTCTAGGTCCTGGCTTAGTCATGAGTGACCCATGTGACCACCTAGAGCAGGCCCAGCCATCAGCTAGGTGAGACAGCCGTCTACTTAGGCTTAGCTTTTAGGGCAGTGGTAGTCATCATATAACTTCACATAAGGGGGCAGTGTGCCATGAATTGCTTTATAAAGAACATAGACCCCAGTCATCAGCTTTCCTGGAGCTTTCGGGGTTCAAAGGGAAAGCCTTTTGGAACAATAGAGCTAGAGTCTCAAGCCGTCACAATTGGATTCCACCTGTACATCTATTTCGGACCCCACTGTTTCACCAGACTTCCTATTTACACCTCTAGTTACTTGTTCCCTCGTTCTGTTAATCCATTCCATTTCTCAGGCTAGAATTCCTTTCTTCCTGCCGATCTACTGCCTGTCCTTTAGAGGTAACGTAAGTCCTTTCCCTTCTGATCTCCTCACATCTGGTAACTCCCACTCACCTTTCACTGTTCATACAATGACCTTGATGTAGATGCACAGCTTACAGCTTACAATAGTTGCTGTTGTAGATACTGGTTATCTCCTTTAAATTAAGCTTCATAGAGATGGGTGTGTTGTGTACTCACTGTGCTTGGCATACAGTGGGCCAACAGAAAACACTGATGAATTGGAGTGTGCCTGTGGAATAAACAAAATTGTAGTGCTGTTCTAGATGCATTGACAAGAATCATTGTACAAGTCAGGAAAGAAGGGAGGGAAGGTCATTTGCTTGGCATGAAGTAAGAGACATTTGACAGTCTTCTCGTATGCTTTGTCTTGTCTCAGCGGCAGCCCTGGGAGGTATGGGTGGTATGGTTCTGCCTATTTGGAGACAGTACAATGGAATGCAACGATTCCACAGTCAAATGGATTTGAGTCTTTGAACTCTTAAGTTTCTGTGAGCCTCAGATTCTGCATTGTGTAAGACGGGGATGTTTACTCCTGCCTCCTTAGGTAGTGGTAAATATAAGTTGAACGTCCAGTGCCAGCGCAGGCACTCTGTAAGCGGTTAGTTACACCTGGCCATTCACAGGTGAAGAAGCAGACGCAGAAATTTGGAAAGGTGAACTAAGTTGCCTCCTGGCTGTTCACCCAGTCGGCAGTAAACCAGAGCTACAACCCAGGCACCCTAAGCTGTTATACCGTGTCTTGATAATCCTTTGACTCACTGTGTGAGTAGAGATGGGCTGGCTTTGTGCAGACTTGGCTTGTACTAATGGTGCCGGTCCTGTTGGATTGGAGCAATTGTCACCACTGTCACTCTTAACTTTAATACACTGCATTCCTGTAACCTGAAGGTGGTGTGAATGTGCCCATCTCACTCAAGCTCTTTCCGGTCTTCCTTTGATTTAGGAGAAAGGATCCTGGGTTATGCTGAGGAGCCCTGTTATCTCTGGTTTGTCATGGAATTCTGTGAAGGTGGAGACCTGAATCAGTACGTCCTGTCCCGGAGGCCGGACCCAGCCACCAACAAAAGCTTCATGCTACAGCTCACGAGCGCCATTGCCTTCCTGCACAAAAACCACATCGTGCACAGGGACCTAAAGCCAGACAACATCCTTATCACGGAAAGGTCTGGCACCCCCATCCTCAAGGTGGCAGACTTTGGACTAAGCAAGGTCTGTGCTGGGCTGGCCCCCCGAGGCAAAGAGGGCAATCAAGACAACAAAAATGTGAATGTGAATAAATACTGGCTGTCCTCAGCCTGCGGCTCAGACTTCTACATGGCCCCCGAGGTCTGGGAGGGACACTACACAGCCAAGGCTGACATCTTTGCCCTGGGCATTATCATCTGGGCAATGATAGAAAGAATCACTTTCATTGACTCTGAGACCAAGAAGGAGCTCCTGGGGACCTATATCAAACAGGGGACTGAGATCGTCCCTGTTGGTGAGGCGCTGCTAGAAAACCCAAAGATGGAGTTGCACATCCCCCAGAAACGCAGGACTTCCATGTCTGAGGGGATCAAGCAGCTCCTGAAAGATATGTTAGCTGCTAACCCACAGGACCGGCCTGATGCCTTTGAACTTGAAACCAGAATGGACCAGGTCACATGTGCTGCTTAAAATTCAGGGCAAAGCATCTTGGGTGTTTTTAAACTAGGTGAGTGTACTCTTTTTGTTGTGCATGCAGTCTTCCTGGACTGGATTTTTCACCCTGGGCCCTGGGGTGGGCCCTATGGAGTTGGGAAATGCAGGATTGAAGACAACTAAGTGCTTGTTATCAAAGAGTACCCAGGTCTTCATTTAAGCGGAGATACATGGGATTATTTGAGGATGAGTCGGAATGTCTAGAGAAGTTTTCTGAGTCAAGTTGCATTTCCACTGAGTCTCAAGTTTTCTGGAAACACATTTTTTCATCAGTTAATTAATGGTTGCTGTAGAAAATGTGCAGGAAGGGTACGGGCAGTTGTTTTCAAAAGATAAACGCCATCCCTCATTGTATCCCTCCTACTCGCACGTCCAGTTCTACATAGTTTCAGTCATGCTGTGGTTAGGTACAGCTCTGTTTCCTCTCTTTTGTCAGCCCGAACCTGAGCATTTCCTCGTGTCAGACATTGAAGGCATGGCTTTCAATAATTGACATTTGATTATATATACCACAATGTAGCCATTCTCATACTGTAGGTATCAGATGGTTTCTCCATTTTTACACTGTAAACAGTGTGCGAGTAAATCCTCTTATCTGGAAGGCTTTGCTTGTTTAAATTATTGCCCGGATATATTGTGGGCTTTCACCTGTCAAGTATTGTGCTGAGCTCTGGGATAACAACGGTAAGCAACATCTGAAACTTGCCCCATCCGCATGAATTCTGCATCTTGGTTGGGGAGAGAGACATGACTCAATATTTATCATAGTTGCTTTGCAGCAAAGGAGAAGAGGTATTAAGGAAAATGGACCTTTCAGGGGATGGTGCCCAGAGGCAACAGTGGGGAATTGGGGGCAAGGAGGAGCATTCCAGCCTCTGCGGAGGACCTGAAGCCAGATGGACCCTAAGGTATTTTGGGGACCTCACCAATTTGAGTTAGTGAAGAATGTACACATGTTGCTATCGGACAGAACAGTGACCTACCAGGAGAGTGTGGACAGAGCTGAGGTGGGAAAGGGAAATCCAAAAGAGCATATCAGGAACAGCGAGTTCAATTGCATAGAGACTGAGGTATGAGCAAAGGAAATAAGATCAGAAATTAGGTGAAACCTCGGACCTTGGCATTTGACCGTGGCTTAGCAGCTTGGGAGCCGTTTGTGGACCAGAGCAGAACATTGCCGCATTAAGAACTTTAGCATGTGCGAGGCGAAGTGAACAAAAGATTGGAGACTTGGAGACCAGTTGGGTCAATTGCATTCACACTAGTAAGGGGGGCGTGTTGCACCTGAAGTTGAGTAGCACTGAGGATAGTGCAGTGCCTTGAACATCAGGGCAGAGAATCGGCAGGACAACTGACTCGAGGTAGAAGTAGAAGAAAGTAATAGATGTGGTAGATTAATGGCAGTAGACACAAATGCTGGCTAGTGTTCTGGTCAGATTTGAATTCTTTTTCTTAACAGAAATCTCCCGCCTTGTTCTGCGGGAAGTAGGGGAAAAAACCCATTGAGCACCATATTTGCTAGGTGTTTTCACATGTACCATTTTGTTTCTCCTTTCTAACCCTGTAATGGGCTAAGTCATTTACCCAGTATCCTACTAAATTAAAGGCAGGTGTATCTTACTCTTGCCCCTCCCCCCTCTCCCCTTTTTTCTTAATATCATTATGGCAAGCTGGAAGTAAGCTACTCTTACATTTTGCTGAAGCCTTGAGATGGGGATGGGGCTGATCCCAGTGGTCGGTCACAAGGAAGGGGCCTCAGCACTTCAGAGCCCTCTGTCACCTGGGTGGGTTCTTAGCCCCCTCCTTTCCCTTCATCACCCTCAGATTTCTAGCTGGAGTTGGTTAATACTGAGTCGAGCCTGGTCACATCTGTAGTATTCTCAGTGAATTTATTTCTAGAGTGATTTGCTTGGTTTAATTCTTCCATCACATATTTCCTGAGTACCTTCCATGTGCCAGGCCAGTTTGTCCTGCTGCCCAATGGGTAAGAGAATAGTGTTCCCTAAAGCTAGGCTTGGGCTAATACCATGAAAGAGCCCCAGAAAGGGTTGGCTAGAGAGTGTTTTAATTGTACTTCATGCTGCCACTTCCCGTTTCATCTCATCTTTTCCACTTTTTTTTAAAGATTTTATTTATTTTTAGAGAGAGGGGAAGGGAAGGAGAAAAGGAGAGAAACATCACTGTGTTGCCTCTTGCGTGCCCCCCGCCGGGGACCTGGCCCACAACCCTGGCATGTGCCCTGACTGGGAATCGAACTGGTGACCCTTTGGTTCTCAAACCGGCACTCAGTCCACTGAGAGCCATGCCAGCCAGGGCTCACCTTTTCCACTTTTAAAAAACCTCTCAAAATTCAAGTTTGCCCCAGGGTAGGAAGAAGGTTGTCGTTGGAGGAGAGACCTGAATTTGGGTTAGGATTATGGAGTTGTCACAACTAATTGAGATCACAGCTTCCACTTGGACACCCACGCCTGGGATTGGCGCTGTTTTGCAGGGCAGAGTTTTAGCTAAATAGGAGTGATTCCTGCAGGTGGGAGAAATAGGTGCCCTTGAGAAGAGGAAAGATTAGGGACATCATGTCCCAGGCTCTGACCACTAACAAAGACATTACCGTACTTGGTCTGTTGGTGCCAATTTGACTGTAGCCTCTCCTGCCCTGGCTTAGCTGGAAATCTAGAATTATGGCCCTGGGCCCAGGTCTGTGTGACCAGGAGCTGAGCCTTGTGTCAGAAGTTTCCAGTCAGTTAACATGTAAGTGAACTCTGTCTGCCTGGCTAACGTTGGGAAGATCCATCGAGTCCAAGCACCTTTCCCTCCCACCGGGCTGTATAGAGAAGCTAATTCCATGTATTGATCCAGCATATTTATTGGGAAACTCTTTGGCAGGGGCAATTTTAAGCACAGAAGATATGTTAGTGAACAAAACAGACAAAAAATACTTGCAGTTGTGGAGACATCTTACTAGGAAGACAAACCAACGTAGGCGATATGTTAGAAAGTGCTACGTGCTGGGAGGAGTGTAGACCTGGATAAAGGAGATCAAAATGCTGGGAGATGGGGGCAGAGGCATTTTTAAGCAGAAGAGATCAGTGTGGGTCTCCTTAAGACAGTGACCTTTGAGCAGAGGTTGGGAGTTGAGGGAGCGAGTGAGGCGGATTTCCCGCAAAAGCATTCCAGACAGAGGGAACAGCCAGCATGGAGGCTTAAAGACTACAAGGTGAGCAGAGAGGACAGTGTGGGGGGAAATGCTAGAGAGGTAACTAGCAGTCAACCAGAATAGGCCTTGTAGGCCATCATAAAGACTTTGGCGTTTATTCTTGGGTAAGGTGGAAAGACATTGGTGTGTATTCAGTTATGTGGTTATCTCATCTTTCAAAAGGGTCGCTGTGACTTCTGCACTAAAAGTAAATATAGGGGAGCAGCGAGGGGATGAGACGAGAGGCTCCTGTAGTAACCCAGGTGAGGGGTAAGGGTGGCTTTGAACAGTGGAGCAGAGGAAGTGATTGAATTTGGGCTGAATTTTGAAGTCAGCCAACAGGATGTCCCACTGGATTGAATGTAAGAAAGGAATTAAGGATAACTTAAAGGTTTTGGCCTTGGAAGCCATTGGAAGGATAAAGCTGTCATCAGACGAGGTGGGGAAAACATTCGGAGGAGCAGGCTTGACTGGGGAAAGTTAGGTTTTAGTCATCGGGAAGTTTGGGATGCCCACTTAGAATCAAAGTACAGCGGTGGAGTGGGCAGTTGGGTGAGTCTGGAGTTCAGGGAAGAGACCTAGTCTGGAGACACAATTTTAGAGGTGGCCAGAGTGCTACAGGGAGCATAGAGACGATTTCAGAGAACAGCTGAGCCCTGGGCCTTCTAACACTGAGGCTTGGAGAAGAAAAGGAATTGGAGGTTGGAGAGCTGCATGTGGCCTCCTCAGCAGGTGGACGAGAGACCTCAAGAAGAAGCGGTAATCAGCCATGGCATACGCGCCAGTAGACTGAGTGATACGGGGACTGAGGAGGGACCATTGGATTTAACAGCCGGGAAGCCCTTTATGCTCATGAACAATCTTGGCCGCACATCATGGGGAAACCATTCACTCTAGTAGGTTTGAGTGTGAATGGAAAAAGAATTGGAGACAGAATAGGCCAGTTTTCAGACCAGAATTCAGTTTTAGAACTGAATTCTTAGTTTTCGGTCCAGAGACCCTGTTGCACTCTTGAAACCAAGGATTCCAGAGAACTTTTGTTTTAGGTTTGAATCTATGGATATTTGCAGTATTAGAAATTAAAACTGAGAAATGTTCCTTTCAAGTGAGTATAAAAAAATAGTAGATTGGCTGCATGTTAACGTATCATAATTTATGAGAAATTTATTTTCAGGAACAAATACTTAGGGAGTAGAGTGGCACTGTTTTATAGTTTTGCAGATCTCTTTAATATCTGCCTTAGTAGTCAGCTGGATCCTCATATTTGCTTCTGCTTATAACCTGGTGCCATCTTCATCATTGTGGAACTTCTGGAAAACTCCGCAGCACACTTATGAGAGAATGAAAGCGAAAAAGACAAGTAACGTCCTAGTGTTGTGAAGGGTTTAGCTTCACAGACTCCTGGACTGCAGACCACACTTTGAGAACCACTGGTGGCATAGGTGACTCTTCTGGGGATTTTACTGGGAAGCGGGGCTAAGAAGTAGGTGGCAGCTGGGGACCTAGAAAGAAGGGAGTTATTCAAGCTCCCTCCTTGGGTGTCCTGATTCCTAGCCAGCTTTCCTGTTAGAACTGTTGTCATGGCTCTCACTCCAGCTGCAGGTAGGAAACAGCCCTGTATGGGAGCCATGAAGAAAGGCCCCGGTAACCTAGGATTGTAGATTGCAGAGTAATGGTTAAATGGAGGCTGGGTGGATTTAGTGTTTTGCAACAATGAATGGAAATGCACTTGTATTGGAAACATGGGATTCCTCTGAAAGGAATGGTGCCTTGTGGACTATGAATGGAAATGCACTTGCATTGGAAACATGGGATTCCTC